AGGTTTTAATGATAAAACTGTTGGTTGAAAACTATAGAGAATATTCTTTTAAGACGATTGTGATTGATTTGTGTTCATTTGGAATTAATCTATAGATTTTATGGATAAAACTATGAATGAGGGTTCGATAAGATGGTTATGACTATGGTCCTTCATCCGAACTAATTCATAGATTTTGAAGAAGAAATAAGGATGGCATATCAAGGAAAGGTGTCTTTTGGAATAAGGGTGACATATCAAGGAGAGGTGTCTTTTGGAATAAGGGTGGCATATCAAGGAGATGTGTACCTTTGGATATAAGSGTGGCAATTGTGTGTGAATATTATAGCTCTTACTATTATGTCTTTTAAGACTACAATAGATTTGAGTCCTTACTTCTTTGTGATTTGAGAACTCAAAGATATTGTTCTTATTAGAAATAATAGTATTGATGTTATTGAGAAGGGGAAAACTTGGGCTATGGCCATTGATATTGGTTAAGAATGTTTTGGAACAAAATGGTCATTTTTATGAGGAATCAGAGGGGCTCTGGTTGTTCCTTGTAAGAAACCAGAGGGGCTCTGGTTGGTCCTCATTATCGGACCAGAGGATTCTGGTTATTGATTTAGCAAGTTTTTGCTAAATGTATTAATTGGATCAGAGGCTCTGTATCTATAGATAAGAGCTTCTATGTCAAAATCATAATTTTAGAAGTTTTTAAGAAAAGGGTTTTATACTTACAATCCTTTTATGAAAAACAGACCAGAGAGGCTCTGGTTGGCTTACACGTTGAACCATAAGCTCTGGTTAGTGCAACCAGAGGCTCTGGTCGAGGAACCAGAAGCTTTGAAAGAGAGACCAGAGGGGCTCTGGTCCAAGTTATTGAAATATATTCCAAGTCTGGTTAGTACAACCAGAGGCTCTGGTCGAGGAATCAGAAGCACTGGAAGAGAGACCAGAGGGGTTCTGGTCCTAGTTATTGAAATATATTCCAAGTGTGGTTTGGAACCAGAGGCTCGATGGACCAAAACAGAATATGATTTTATTCCGCATGTTGTGAAATGCTTATTTGATAAATGTTTTGGTGATCTTCACCCTGCATTACATAAAAGGGAACCTGACTACACATTCATGTCTAACCCTCATTTCGTGTTTTCAAAATATGTGTGCAGGTAAAGATAATAAGGGAAAGAACATTATGTGAATTACTTCCCTATGTGCTTAGCTGTTTTTGGAAGCATAGATGCTAGGATGCAAGAACATGTACTTTTGAAATTTTTGGGTTGCGTATTTTACATTAAATACTTTTGTATTGC